TTAAATAACGTTCTATGGTAAAATTCATTTCTCAGCTAAATCAGTTAGAGCCGACGACAAAATAACTGTCAAGAACTAATTATCTGAAAAGTAAATCGCCATACTGAACTTTGTAACTAAGCTTAACATTTTCCAATCTCAAATTATAAGTTTTCCTTAAGAAAATCATAGAAACTGCTTTAAAAGTAATCAAGAAACAGTTAAAACAAAAAAGAAGAAATATATTCATTCGCTGATATCTCTTCAGATACAGGCAGCATAGATGAGGATGTCGTCAAAGGCAGGGTGAGAAAAGCAAGACGGAAATTTATTACTTTGAAATCAGTTTGGAAATCTACCACGTAAGGGAAAAGATCAAGATCTTGATCACTAATATCAGGTTAATCAGTGCTTCAATATGGTTCAGGAACTTGGCACGTCACGTAAAGCATCTCTAACAAGCTACTGTAGACTTTCATCAACAGCTGTTTTCGCTCAATGATTACTATTCCCACGGGTTCCGAGTGGAAGACAGGTTTTCAGCAGTCCATCACTACTTTATACTGTTCTCTGCAGTCCTCTTTAGATGGGCCTACAATTACTCATAGTTTATCATCTGCTCTTCACATGACCGCCTCCATATCAGTCTTGGACCTAATCCCATTCAGGTTCCACTCGAAGGCCTGGCGTGCGATGTTATCCAACGGTCTCCTCAGCGTGCGCCTAATCCGTCTCCATTTTCTTCTATGTATTTGTTGAACAATAGGCTCTTGATTCGTTCGTTCTCAGAGTTTCTTGTCTTTCCTGACCATTTGATCTTCAATATAGGGCCAGCGAAGGCAGCTATTGATAAAATACTTATGACCCATATAAAAGAACTGACTGACTTAACATTGATGTTGAAAATCCGAATTTTTTCCTTGATGCTGAGTACAGTAGACTTCCAAACTAACTTGAGAGTGATGAAGGTCTGCCTTGTCTTTCCGATTCTGATTTCGACATCCTAATCCATGTCTCTGTCTGTAGTTGAAACGATGCTTCCTAGATAAGTGAAGGAAGCAACCTCTTTCAGATTTCGCTCGTCGATGATGCTTCTTGTTGTTTTTGGTTATCTTCATCACCTCCATTTCCTCTATGTTCACTTGGAGTCCTGTCTTTGCTGCTTCATCTGACAACTTGTTCGTGTTCGCCTGTAAGTCTTCGAGTTTGTGTGAAATTAGACATACATCATCCTTGAAATCTAGATCTTCCAGAGTCTTCTTATCGGTCAGTGCAGCGTATTCCCGTCTTCTCACTCCCCACAGTCTGGTTCATGATCCAGTCCACCACAATTAGGCATATCATCAGTGATAATAGGCAGCCAGCTTTTCTTACTCCTATCTTCACTTCAAAGCCTTCGCTGAGTTTTCCGTTGTGGATCACCACCACCTGACACGTGGTATTGTCATATAGCCAGCTGTTGAATGAAGTTGATAAAGATTTATGGCACTACACGCCATAGTGTTGAAGCAGTTTCCAAATTCCTCCTCAGTCAACGCTGAGCTATCGAAGGCTTTTTCAAATTCACTGAAGAGATTTGACCGCCATATTTTCTCTCAATAATGAAAATCAAATGGCCAGCGAGAACGGACAAGCAGCAAGAAACTCTGCGAACGAACAGTCAACAACCTATCACGCAGCAAATATGCAGACGGATTGACCATACACTAAGTAAACCGTCGAATGATATCTCACGCCAAACTCTTGAGTGAAACTGGAATGAGAAACGAGGAGTTAGGAATGTATCCAACGATGACATGGAGAAGATTACGTGAGAAGGAAATGAAAGTTTATTGGCAATCGTGGAGCCAGCTGAAGAGGACTGCACATGACAGAGTGAAATGGAGATTTAAAACAAGCAATAAAGGTTAATAAATTGAATACATTGAATTAGTCATGCAGAAAGACAGGTGCGAATGTTTTCCAGGTCATGTTCAAATAGATAAGGGGAGAGAGAGTATGAGAGATCAAAATTAAGATAAATTGCATTACGCTTCAATTACAACACTTAGATAAACAATTAGACATTAGAGAATATAACAAGAATTGCAAACAGAGTAATATCAATAGTAATAGTTATAATAACAATAATAATAATAGTGTTGAAGTGAGTTAAGATAATCCTACTGATAAAGGATAGTTTTAAATGAATCAAGAATAATAATAATAAGAGGTAGAATTATAAGTAAAACGTATTACCATGGTAGATTCAGAGTCACGACCATCTCCTTTTGTACACAGAGACCTGGTTTATAAACTCGAATTGCACAAGCCTCTGCAATTGCAAGCATCTTCTTGTTTCTTTGTCTGCTGACAATAGTGAATGACTTGACAGCGTCAATATCATGTCCGTAATCCACAAGATGTTTTGTTATTGAGGATTTTGGCACTTTGCACTCAGCTGTTTTCAACCATTTTGGCAAATGCTCCATCATGCGAGTAGACAATCGCCTTTCCGTACGACCTATGTATTTGCTTCCACAAACACACTCAAATTGATATACGCAGTTTGAAGTGTCTAGGATTGGCGACTGGTCTTTCCCAGATTGTTGAAGCACTCGCTTAGTGGTGTTAAGGAGAACAAGTTTTGCAGCATAATAAGTTCTCTTGATGGCTTTGTCGAGTCTGTCGAGTTTGACTACTTCCTGTACATCATCTCCTTTGAACGGCAAACTGATATAGACAGGTTTCTTCGGAACTGTTTGGATTGTTTTGCAGGGGCTATTTTCTTTAGAGTATTTATTAGTGAACTTCTGAGGATATCCATTCTTAGATAGGAAATCCTACCGAAATTTGATGAATTCATTAAATCCTGCTTTATTGCTTGTTTTAAATTCGTATCGGGAAATAAATGTTTTCAATTATTGAAATGGAGATATGTTATACTCAGAACCCAGGCGAATAATAATAATAACAACACTAATCCTAACTGATATCGGTTTGTGACGAAATCCACAATGACAGCATAGTCAATCATATTTCACTTTTACATAAGATCCCCCTACTACAGCCTATCCATCCTACAGTCAAATATCAAAAAAGATGCACACACAAGTTGTCAGAAGAAGCATCAAAGATAGGACTTCAGGCGAACATAGAGGAAACAGAAGTTGGTGATGCAGATTCCTGGCCAACAACGACAGCAACAACAACAGACAACAATCAGCATAAATGGGAGGAACCTGAAAGAAACAACCTCTTCTACCTACCTGGAAAGCATCATTTCAACTACAGGCGGACGGAACTGACGAGGATATCAAAGCAAGAATCGGAAAAGCAAGACAAGCTTTCACTTTTCTCAAGTCTGTGTGGAGGTCAACAGCACTCAGTAGTCAGCTTGAAAAATAAGATCCGGATTTTCAACTCCAATGTGAAGTCAGTCAGTGCTACTATACGGATCAGAGACTTGGCCAGCGCGTAATAAAGAGCATCTCAAACAAACTACAGACCTTCATTAATAGTTGTCTTCGCTCAATGCTCAAGATCAGATGGCCGGTCAGAAAAGATCAGCAACAGAGAGAGATTTCTGGCAATGAGCGAACCAACCAGGAACCAATTGTGAAACAAATAGGTAGGAAGAAATGGAGATGGATTGGCTGGCCATACTCTTAGGAAACCATCAAGTGACATCAATAGACAAGCCATTGCTCGAGTGGAACCCGACGAATGGGAAGCGGCGAGTTGGTCGTCACTGTGAGGGTGACTTGGAGGAGGTCATGTGAAGAGGAGATGAAAACGTGTGGGCAGACATGGAGCCAGGTGAAGACTCTAGCAGAGAACCGAACGCAATGGAGACGCACGGCTGAAGCCCTATGTTCCTCTAGGAACTAAAGGATACAATAATAATAATAATTTAATACATGTATACACATATATGCGTGTATTTATACTGAAAAAGAATTTGTTTCTGTGATCAAAAAAAGTAAAAGTAAAAGCAAACTGAAAATAAATGATGAATAGACAGTCAAAAGAGACACACAAACACGCACAAGTACACAAGAAAAGGGAAACAATGTCATACTTTTTATATCTTTATGCAATATATGCATTCCTGAATAATAATAATTCTAATGATAATTCTACTGATCAGTAAAGTCGAAGTAGAGACAAAAGACAACATTTTTACATAGAGCAAGGAATAATAATAATAATAATAATTATTGCTTTCTTTGCCATCATTTCATCTTCTACAAAAAAAGGAGATCAGGAAAGCTGGTTTTTATGCATACGACAAAATTCAACAACAAAAAGAAAAATCATGAACGGAAATGAAATTTCCCTCTTCTGAACAACAGAGAAGAGAAAACCAAAAGAAAAAAAAACGCAGAAAAATTAAAAGGCCAATAAAAATCAACAAAATCAAAAAAAATAGATAAGTTGATTACAAATTAAAATGATTCACAGTAGGTCTACTAGCTGAATGTAGACCGCGCATAAGACTTTAGAAGAGATCAATATGTATGTATATATATAGACGAGCTGGTTTAACACAATCAACCACAAAAGGAGTGTGGTACACATAAAGCTGCACAAAATACACATGAAAGGGTAACAACAACAATAACAACAACAGAAACCACTGTGCACTGAATTACATTGTTATTACCATAATTACTCGTTACAACACCATGATGTTATAACACACAATAGGAAAACAGTGAACGCATACAGAGAAGGCACATATAACTATCACCACTGCCACTACCCCGACCACCATCACAAGAAAAGCATTGACGATTAGACTATATAATATACGGTTACTGTGGTAATAGTTAATAATACTTTGATAGAAATGACTAGCACAGACAAATGTAGAGAAATACATTTCTTCACTCATTCAGCCATTCTTACTTTGCACAAATGGGGATACAGGACAAAAACACAAGACGGCTGAACAGACATACAAGCCTGCCTGTTAAGATGATGGTGAATAAATGAGGGTAACAAAAAGCACTAGGTGATATATATATATCGAAAATAATAATAATAATCATCATCATATCAGAATCTGAACAAAATTATCATCAACGCATAACATGTGATTAAAAATAAATGGTAGGCTGAAAAATAAAAATATAATAACAGAGAAAAATGAAAATAGATCAATAATAATGATAATAATAATGTATAACTGAAATTTGCGCATGAAGTGAGAATATTAAAGAATAGGAGAAATAGGCGAAAGTGTGTAGTCACACACAGACACACTCACACACGCACGCACATCACATACACTATATGCCAAGCATACAGAGTTTTATCTTTCATAGAGAGAAACACACCACCACCACCACCACCGACAACAACAACAACAATGGCGACAGCTGGTATTGGATTAAATCAGAACAAAAGCAACAACACTAATGACGATACTGCTGCTGATGATGGCGATGAAGCGGTAAGATAAAAAAGTGTGATAACTGTCTGTAGGTAGAAATATACACACACACAAATCAGAGGAAAGTAATTTATCAACACACACACACACACACAAAAAGATGATAGATCACCGTGTTTGTGACTTTTGTAAGTGTATTGGTGTTAGGGTGTGAAATAGAGGTGTTGGTTGTGGTGATGATGATGATGATATACAAGGAAATGTTCCATTTGTATCTCTAAAGTGCTTGATTATACAAGGTAGCATCGATGATTATGACGACGAAGACGGGAATGGGCGTGATAATTGGTCAGATAATGGATTTGACGATCATTAAATGCACCTTTACGTTTACTAGATGGGATAATTTTAAAAAAAAAGAGTAATAACATTAGAATAAGTTTGAGGTATTTTGACAACAAAAAAAGCATACCAATAGTCATGTATATAAATGAATGAAACGTATGTGAAATCAGTGTGTTAACTTAGGTACATACCATACCACGTTGAAAGCACCGGTTCTCGTCCGATCACCGAAGTTAAGCAACGTTGGGCCTGGTTAGTACTTGCATGGGTGACCGGCTGGGAATACCGGGTGTTGCCGGCTTTTGTGCGTCGGTGGCATAGCGGTTAGGACCCTCGCCGATCATGCACATGGTCCGGAGTTCGATCCCCGGCCACTGGATGCACTCCTTTACCTCGCTGAGCCAGAAATAATGCTGGTGAAGAGGAAAGGTTGGGCATGAGGCTAGCAACCCCATCCTTTAAAATAAACACTGCTACAGAAACTTCAAGCCACTAGCTTGAAGCCCTATGTTCCACTGGGGAACGTGAAGGAAAAAGAAATAATAAATAAAACTTAGGTACACGTATGGTTTAAGTGACACTAGAAATTATTACAAAACAAATTTGCCGCGCTTTCGACTCAATATACTTGAATATGTGGAGGAGAGGCGGTCAATTATGATTTGAATTTCCTCAGGTAGATGATTTTATGCGATTTTGTATTACATGCTTAGAGGAGTGCCGTAAACGTGGCAGATATCATGCATGTTTGGCTATTTTAGAGGTGTTATATTAACTTTTTTTTGTTTACACAGCTGGGATGCCTGCTGTAGCGTTTGCTATACATAATATGCGCGAAAATACCTCGCGATAGCTTTTATGTTCTCATTCATATTGGTTTGAGATATGTGATTTGAATATTTAAGTGAAATTGGAATATTGATCATAACATCTGTTTTAGTGATCTCATTTCAATGACAGCGAAATCACCTTATTATTTATGAAATTTCATACATTGTGATGAAATTTATACAAATTAAAATAAGCTGTCACCAAAATCATCAATCTAAAAATAAAGGTCAGGCTATTTCCTGTACTATCAATCAAATTGATGGAATACTACTCTGTTACTAAATATAAATCTAGTTGGATTCATTGAAAAATATATTTAAAAAATCGATTTTTCAATGATCGATGCTTAAAAATTCAAAATCTTGTTAAGACTTCTATTTCTATCCTCTTGGTATCTAGAATGGTTCTGACTAGCTTAAAAAAGTAGTATTTTTCAGAAAAGCAGAAATGAAAGTAGGGAGAATGAATGCGACCAAAATAATTAAATGAAAACAAAAAAATGACTGAACATTTTCAAAACCTGGAATATGTTAAGATATTTGCTCCATTATATCAAAGATTTTGAGCCATTTCACTAGCAGCCTTCTAACACTGATTTTTAGCATTTCGAAAATACGCCGAGCCAAGCAGTTTACAGTTCCCTGCATAGTTGAGATCAACGACCACTGAGCACGTGCTATGCTACGTGTTTAGATCAGAATGCTCATTTACAGCCCTTTGATAAACAGTTGAATATCACGTCGGCAAACGCCAAACTACCCTTTTGTATTTCTTCCTGAGATTTAGTCATATAAATCAAACTTCTACGAGTTATGCAACTCCTAAAATAACCAACACACACTCAACTGCTTCATTATCTAACCTTAAACTGTGGAGTTGTATCACCACCGTACATTTGATAGTGATGTTCAGGAGATTTCATTCTGTCAGCGTTTTTACTTAGAACTATTGCATGCTATCAATCAAAGAAATTTTTCGTTAAAGGCCAAAATCGAAAAGAGTTTCATCCAACTGTACACCTATCATAAAATCGAGCGGAAGAGGTGAAATCTAACGGACAGCACAGGTTGTCAACACACTTCAGACGACAGCTCTAAATAAGCTCTTAAAAAGATGTATGGGTGCGAGTAGAATGTCTTGATCAGTACAGCACACTTCCTCCTCACTTCATTTACAGCTAGACATCACGGGAACACCATTGTATCGGCGGAGTCAAATGCCGTTTTCAGGTTAACAAATACGACCAGTGTTGGACAGTAGAAAGTTTGTCCGTGTTTCAGAACTTTTTCAAATGTGAAGATTTGATCACTGCACTGTCTCTGGTCCGGAACCTACTTGATATTGTTTATCGAGGGCCCCAATTAGTAGTCATAAGAGCATAGGACCTTGAGTAGTATTTCAGTGAAACTGATACCTCTGCGATTATTATGGAAAGAAAAGTCCTTTATTTCATAAACTGAGGTGATCAACTGTCAACATCATTACGATTGACCTGTCTCAGATTCACACAAACTGGCTGCTACCTTAATTGATTCAGTCATGAATGCATCATCACCGTCTTTAAGTCTCATCAGGTGCTGATATTTTGTCTCGTTTCAGATTGTACACAACTGTAGTAGCCCTGGATACAATTGGAGAGAGGTGATTTCTACATCATACTAAGCTTGTGGTTAGTTTGAGAGCAGACGCAGCCAGTTAAATGGCTGCGCAGTGATCTACTTAATATTCTTTCTGACAAGTTATTAAACTTTTTTCCATTGCTTGCGGTCTCTGCGAAAACCGTCAGTCGCTAATGTTTCTCTACAGAAGGATAAAGGTGATACCATGCTTTCACAGGGCGAATATTGCCATTGAACTCAGCTAATTGTTTAGTTTGTTCGTCCGTTCAGGCTAAAAGCATTCACATGCGAATGTATGACTGGATTTCAAGCGCAATAGAAGCCGTAACTTTCCTCTGTTTCTCTTCATTAGTCACTTATTCTAAAGTAGTCTATTTAGGTTCATTGTTGGTTCGAATTCAGTCAGAATGAAAAATTGCGATCGTTTGACAGTATTGTAGCTAACGCATGAATACTAATATGATTTTAGACTAATAAAAACTATAACTATTTCGTAAGACACATACTGATATAAATCAATGAGTGTTGAATGAAACTCAACTCAATATTACATACACAACAGAATATAAAGTTCGCGACATTTTCTGCTTTTTTTTCGATTTACATATCTTATACAATGAAGTAAGAAACATTTCACTATTCAGAGTAAACTATAAACAAGGTTTAGTAAGCATGTTGTACGACGCAGTCACAAAAGTCCTTTTAACAGGTGATGCGTTAAATCACCAATAACTCCTTATCCATTCCAACGCAAGAAGTTAAAACGAATATAACAGTAGGTTAACTGGTAGGTGTCCTCTGATTAGGCGAATAGATTTTTTTATTCCTTTACGTTCCGAGTAGAACAATGGACATTACTCTTGCACTTTAAAGTTTCCGTAGCGGTGATGTTATTTTTAAGGGGTGGGGTCGCTAGCCCCACATTCGGGTTTACTGTCGACTAAGAGAGGTCTAGGAGTGCGTCGGTGGGGAATCGAACTAGGACCACATGTGTGGTTGGTGAGTCTAATGGATAAGGCATCGGCTTCCATAGCCGAAGACTGAGGTTCCGAGTCACTTCCAAGACGTATTTCTGTCCAAGTGACTGGATGGTCAGCGGGATGACCTTGTAACTCGAAAGTAGTGCGTTCAAATCACAGTGGTGTCATCGAGGAGAGGGGTACAAATGAAGAGTCCCAGAGTGGGATGAAATGAATAGATAAATACATAATATTTGAAGTCTGTGTTGATTCTCCGAATTTGTTCGCTGTGACGTATCCATTCTGAAACAGACTTTGAGCGTTGTACAATCACATAAATTATACATTGAATTCAATTTCTCTCAAAAGCAGTTTTCCCTTCAAGACAGTTCAAATTCCTCACTGAAAAAACACAGTTAATCCCAATTGACAAAGAACTCTTTATACGGTATGCGATCTCTGAACAGCTTTTAACTTACTCAACAGGTTTTCGGTTTTATTTTTTCGCCAGTCATAAGCTTATCAATTGAATAAAATAATCGCATAAATTTATGTGAAGATATATGGGACAGTAGAAATAAATTCGGTGGCAGAGCGGTTAGAACGCTCGCCAACCATCCACATGGTCCGGAGCTCGACCTCAGGCCGACGCACACCCGATATCAATTGTCGGCCTGCTAAATTTGGGTTACCGATATCACATGCTGAAAATTCCATACTTGTACCAAAATACTGTGTGGAATCAAGTAATAATATAAAACTTACTTGCGAATAAGTTCTATTGCATCTTCACTGGACATTCCAAGTTCCATCAATGCAACAGCAACTAGGACTGGAGCCCTATAAAGTTTCAAAAGAAAGGCGAAATTCTTTTAAGAATGCGTATTAAAAATAATCAATAGTTATATCACACAATTTAGAAAAATCCACACAGAAATGATGGAGTTCCTAGTAGGCACTTTAAGGATAAAGTCTTTACAGCTAGATCTACTTTTAGTCCCATGACTGAAAGATGGATTTCCTTATATGCATATATATATATATATATATATATATATATCAACATGTATTTATTGATTAAACTGCTTCTGTGAAGCGATTTATCTTGAAGACTCTACAGTATGTTTGGTGGAGGGTGACAAAGTAACCCTACATGTGTAAGTGACATTTAACCTACAAGGGTCGAACATTGGTTCATAAGAATTTGTCTTGGGATAGCATTGATGCTACTGTCATCAAAAATAACTAAATGACAATTTCCAATATACAAAAGTTAACAGATCACCTTGTTCTGCTATGACTATCTAAATGAATCCAGACTTTACACAAACCGTTTTTAGATAAACTGATAATTATTGATTTCCTCCTGTTTACTCCGTTGTGTTCTTTCACACCTTAACTGAGCTTTCAACATTTCATCTATACCCAATGTACATAAATTACCAGTTACATTTACTTTATGTTTTCGTCTTGATTTATTTATTCAACAATGGTCTAGACTTGGTGAAACTTCGGAAATGACCAATTGAATTTGAGAGAAATGTGTACGGTCATTTTCAGTGAGCATTACCTAACAAGAGCAGAGGTAAGATGAGTTTAGCGTTAAAGTTAGATTTAGGATCAGCGTTAGGACTAAGATGTTATTTCGCCATATTTCATGTTACAACTGCAACTGTTGGTATTAGATGGTTGGAGGCAATCGGTAGGAAGCCATGGACCTAGGTTTCGTGCTAGTTGGCACTCGTCAGCAAGGCGTATCTGCAACCTTGAAGGAACTCATGTCCCTTCTGAGATTCGAAGCCACGTCACCCAGTGCTGCAGTCACAGACGTTACCACTGAGCTATTCGGGCTCGCGATTGACCTCCTGTAGGACTGTGGTGGATATTTTGATTTGACACTAGTTACTAGTGTGATGCGTCTAGTCCTCTCTTTGGTGCAGACTGAATTCTATCAGTCAGGTTGTAATGTGGCCACCATTCTAGGTAGCTCGCCATCACGGTGTACATTGTTTGTGATGATATTAGATGGTTGGAGGCAATCGGAAGGAAGCCTTGCACCTAGGTTTCCTGCTAGTTGGCACTCGTCAGCAAGGCGTATCTGCAACCTTGAAGGAACTCATGTCCCTTCTGAGATTCGAACCAAATTCACCCAGTACTGTAGACAGAGACATTACCACTGAGCTATTCGGGGTCACAATTGACCTCCTGTAGGACTGCATTTGATATTTTTGATAGGTAAGGCGGGGAAATCAGTCGACGAGGCTGTGAAATTACATCGACTGAGATGGTTAGGACATGTGCTATGTATGCCTAGTCATCGCCTTCCTCGACAATGGGCAATGTTAGTTGGCTGACATAGGGTCAGGCTGGAAAAGAGCTAGCGGCGGTCAAACCAGAACATGGCACCAATCAATGAAATCCACAACAGTTAGTCTAAGCCACGTAGGAAGATGTAGACTTCTTGGCTAGTTGGGGTCCTCGGGACGGTAAAAACCAATGGTTGGAAACAATTGGTGACATGGCTCAAAATCGTTCTCAATGGCTGGTGCAGATGCATCCACTCCTTGTGACTTATGATTTCCAATTGAACTGTTTTGTTCTTCGTTATTACTATACCTTTGTCTCGCACCTCTGTTTACTGTCTATATTATGCATTTCTTCTACTTCCTTCTCTTGCTTTGCGTGCTACATAGATTGTGGCGACTTGAACTGCCGCACATATGTGCAAAGTTCTATGTCGAAAACCGACCGTCGAATAAAAAATACAACTGCAATTGTTATAGCAATGCTATTTTCATTTTGTCTGTTGTTCAGAGGATAATAGGAAGGAACATCTGTCACCGGTATGGTACGAGTGATAAATGTTGCTGAAATGACAGTAAGCTTGTACATACTTCCATATGAAGCAATAAGAATCAATTGGAAAAGTTTCCGAATCACTGGCACATTAAAAAACCTTTGAAAGACGACAGAGTTTTGCAGTTCTACCTCAAAAGTTTTCTGAAATATATGAGAATAACAAATACATTTGTGGGATATTCGGATGTCAATATATTTCGTTACTGTCCTCTTAATCCCGGCCGACACACTCCACCTTCGTGTGTCGGTAGTTCAGTGTTAATAATAATAACAATAATTTGTTTTATTCCAAAACAGTACATGTGATACAGAATGGAATTCTCAGCATTTTTACTACAGTATTGCATCCAGTTAGTACATTATCAATAAATAGAATTCTACATAGATTAAGGAAATCTCAGTTCATTATGACAACAACATATTGGCATGTCGGTAGCAAAACCAAAGTTGAAACAGTGTTTGAAGGTGTTAGAAAAGTAGGTGCTATAATGTTTACTGGCGCAAGCGGAAGAAAGAAACAAAGCAGCACATAACGGAAAAAAAGAAAAAGGAGAGAGAGAGAAAAGGAAAAGAAAGAAAGAAAACGTTGTACCTATAAATGATATCAGTTGGAAAGACGAGATCCAGTTGTTCTACTGACTATTTAATGAATTATAAGTGTCACGCCTAATGCTTTCTTTATCGCACAGAACACGAGCTAAGTAGGGTATGGTTGAGTTTTTGTACTTGCTGGTGCGAGCATATAATTTAAGAATGCTCATCGACCACGCACGTGATCTGGATTCGATTCCTGACCGATGTACTCCTAAACCTCGCTTAACCGACAGTAAGCCAAATAAAGAGGCAAGGTTGAGCTTGAGGTTAGCATATCCTCATCCTGTAGAAGAAACACCACCTCTACTGAAACTTCAAAAGCCAAGCTTGAAGACCTGTGTTCCATTGGGAATGCAAAGGAATGAAAGAAAACTTTCTCCCTCCTCAACTACGTACACATTACAGGTATTTGTGTAAGGTAAGGTGAAGGCGACGAAGTAAACTGGTATCAGTAAAATAGACACACAGTTGGAATTTCTTTTTCTTGTTGAATACATTAAGGGTGAAAGAGAGCAAGAAACCCATTCAAATTAATCTATTGTGTGGTGTGTATCACTATCAAAATTCATCAACTGTAAATACAATTTTAAGTCTCTCTCAGTTTACATCATTGTTCAACGGATCAATGCTCTTCTCACGATGAAAAACATTTCATAGTTGAATATATGGAACTGGATTAAAAATCTCATCATAAACAAATATCTCCTTTATTACTTCTTCCTAAATAATCTCATTTCCGGATGGATGGATGGATAGAAAATAATCTAATAAATTATGATGCGATCACAGTAAAACTAATTAATTACTACTGATTTGAGGCAATAAGCAATAACAGTAGGAAAGCGACTATGTTCAGAGAGATGAGAAAAAAATGATAGCGTAGCTCTTTCAAAAAAAATGATAAAAGTAAATAGCCAATTAGGAGAAGAATTTTGGGTGTGTAAATGATACCTGCTAAGGTGGTCAAATTACTCCTTAGCGGCGTGTTTAAAACTTGGGCTACCGAAAACTACCTTCATCAATATATACATATATATTGCATGTAATTTTTCTTGTTCAGTTTGTTTAAATCTAGTAAAGTATGACCTCTAATAGTATTGTTTACTCTGGCGGGTATTTAAAACATTTACAACCTGCTCATTCGCAATTTTTTTAATACTAAACTTGAGAAAAAGCATTATATCCTCGATGTCAGTTTATCCTAATAAATGAGATGACCGTTCCTGAATGGTGTCCTGGGTTCATAAAGTATACTCCCAAACTTTTTATAATTGGCATTCAACCAAATGTCGTGTATTTCTCGAAGGAGAAAAAGAAGACATATCATAATGATGGATTGGTTTGCACTTCAGGTCAGATAGAACTATGTCACACGATCTACTGTCAGTTAATCTTTTATTTGAAGATCCTGGACGAAAAGAAAATATCATGCAATAAACTCTGCTGGAAATTCTGTACATTATATCAACATTGTTCAGAATAAAGCTATTATTATTATCATTACTTTAGAGTAGAATTGGAACTTATAACTGAAAGTATAGTAACATGTTAACAAATCAAAAACTCCAGGCCTCAATATTTTATCAATCATATAACGACTTGTTTAAGAAATCCGGTCAACACAATCTGTTTCTATATTCATTTTATACGACTAAACAAGTATACAAAACTAGTAGTAAAGAAACACCATTTCAAGTATAAAAGACGTGTTACCGTGAGTAACTTGACAAGTCGTATGAAGCAACGCGTCTAAGTGTGTAAAATAAACTTCTAACTGTCACAAAGAACCTCTGAGATTGATATAAGTATAAAACTTGGGCACTGTCGTAGAGCATAACTCCATTATGGATAAGATTTTATTTTGATAAATCACACAGTGTTGTACAGTAATATTAACTGATGACGTTTCAAGCACAAACTATTACTGCTCATAATCATATCAAGTCACTCACACAACTTTCTTGCTTCATTTATATACATGAGTAAAAACTGATGATTAGACATTTGAATAAAACTCAATATAGGATAATGTACATTCAGAAATAATAATATGAGTGTTATTGATCAATTACAATCAGATGGGAAATAAGATGTTTTTATAGTCAAAATAAGTAACTTGTTAGAATGTTATGATGTATGTGAATTGAAATAGAATTTTAAGATTATTTATTATCCTCCTCTGATTTGACTGACTGGTGGTAATAATATCTTCCATATCTCTGGTATTTGCATTGAGTCATTTCTGTTGCATGTGTTGGGTGTAGACTCGATGAACAAGGATTCAGTAATCAATCTCTCCCTCCACTACCTAGATTACTTTTTAGAATTTTAACTCTCTCCCACCCTATTGTGTGGTTGTTTGTTAATGCGTGAAGTGCAATTGCTGA